GGACATGTCCTCCTGAACCTCACAGCAACACGGTCCCTCTGTGCGGACATGTCCTCCTCAACCTCACAAATCTTTATTATGAGTCTGTCTCCATCTCCAAAGCTCTAAACGCTCTGTTTCACCTTGTGATGTCATAAAGTGGTAGTTTCTCCCTTTAGTTCAGTCGAGGTCGGCAGGTCCAGAGCTGAAATTATCCAGATGATTCTAGAAGGTGTGTGGAGTTTAAAAACACAGTGGAGCACTTCCTGTGTTACCACATGATGACATCACAATGTGGAGCAGTGTTTTCAGTCTGAGCTCTTCAGGGTTGGTGTGAGTGAATCCAGACAGAGGTAGGTGCAGGTGCTTGTGCTGAGGTGCTTGTTCTACCTGTGAGGGGATGGCCTCTCCTGTCGTCCCTGCGATCTTCACGCCGGCGTAAAGACAGGCCTTACAGTGACTCATCACCACGTCTCGACCTAAAGCCTTGAGGATCCCCACCCGCGCGGCCGCACCTGCGGGCAGAGCGGCAGAGTGGTTAGCACCCGAGGAACTCCACACACACTGCCCAAACGCTCGTCTGGAACCAGAAGCTCTGAGTTTGGTTTGTTCGTTGGTGTGAAAGTTTCAATCGTACTCGGGTCCAGAGTAAATCAAAAGGACGGAGACAGAGACAGAGACACAGACACAGAGACACAGAGACAGAGACACAGACAGAGACACAGACACAGACACAGACACAACACAGACACAGACACAGAGACAGACACAGACAAGACACAGACCACGACAGGCACAGAGACACAGACACAGACACACAGAGACACAGACACAGAGACACAGACACAGACACAGAGACACAGAGACACAGAGAGACACACACAGACACAGACACAGACACAGACACAGAGACACAGACACAGACAGAACACAGACACAGAGACACAGACACAGAGACACACAGAGCACAGACACAGAGACACAGACACAGAGACACAGAGACACACAGCACAGACACAGACACAGAGACACAGAGACACAGAGCACAGAGACACAGACACAGACACAGACACAGAGACACAGAGAGACACAGAGACACAGACACAGAGACACAGAGACACAGACAACAGAGACACAGACACAGACACACAGACACAGAGACACAGACACAGAGACACAGAGACACAGAGACACAGACACAGACAGAGACACAGAGACACAGAGACACAGACACACAGAGACACAGAGACACAGAGCACAGACACAGACACAGAGACACAGAGACACAGACACAGACACAGAGACACAGAGACACAGAGACACAGACACAGAGACACAGACAGAGACACAGAACACAGAGACACAGAGACAGACACAGACACAGAGGACACAGAGACACAGACACAGACACAGAGACACAGAGACACAGAGCAGACACAGAGACACAGACACAGAGACACAGACACAGAGACCACAGAGACACACAGAGACACAGACAGAGACACAGACACAGAGACACAGAGACAGACAGAGACACAGACACAGACACAGAGACACAGAACACAGACACAGAGACACAGAGACACAGAGAGACACAGAGACACAGAGACACAGAGACACAGACACAGAGACACACAGAGACACAGAGACACAGACACAGAGACACAGAGACACAGAGACACAGAGACACAGACACAGAGACACAGACACAGAGACACAGACAGAGACACAGAGACAGAGACACAGAGACACAGACACAGACACACACAGACACAGAGACACAGACACAGAGACACAGAGACAGACACAGAGACAGAGACACAGAGACACAGACACAGAGACACAGACACAGAGACACAGAGACACAGAGACACAGACACAGACACAGAGACACAGACACAGAGACACAGAGACACACACAGAGACACAGAGACACAACACAGAGACACAGAGACACAGAGACAGAACAGACACAGAGAGACACAGAACACAGACACAGAGACACAGACACAGAGACACAGAGACACAGAGACAGAGAGACACAGAGACACAGACACAGAACACAGAGACACAGACAGACACAGAGACACAGACACAGAGACACAGACACAGACACAAGAGACACAGAGACACAGACACAGACGACAGAGACACAGACACAGAGACACAGAGACACAGACACAGAGACACAGAGACAGAACACAGAGAGACACAGAGACACAGAGACACAGAGACACAGAGACACAGAGACACAGAGACACAGACACAGACACGAGACACAGACAGACACAGAGACAGAGACACAGACACAGAGACACAGAGACACAGAGACACAGAGACACAGACACAGAGACACAGACACAGACACAGAGACAGAGACACAGACACAGAGACACAGAGAGACACAGAGACACACAGAGACACAGACACAGAGACACAGACACACAGACACAGAGACACAGAGACACAGAGACACAGACACAGACACAGACACAGAGACACAGAGACACAGAGACACAGA